TGTAAATGCGGATTGTGAGCGTATCACGTTATTGTAATGTTCTTTAATTTTATATTAGGCATTAACTGATTTATAGTAACATTGAAAATGACTCGTTCGGGGTCGAGACGTCTGTTCTTCAAATCGTAATGAAATTGTTAAATTAATAAATATACATATATATTGGAGCGATACAACACCCAAGCTTTGGCTCGTGGCCCTTTTTTACTTCGTTTATTAATATTTTAAATATTTTTTAAATAAACTGGAAATTAATGTTTTTTTTTACTAATAATATATATGTTTATTACAATATGCAAGTTGATTAGCTATACAGGTCTCGATTCGAATTCGGCTCGATTTATGAACATTGGTGTAACACAATTTAAGAATAAGGGTCAGAGCATAGACTATTGCATAATGCCGTATAACACTTAAGTGACTTAAGACATATGGCATAATAGAATCAATCAATTAGAGTCTTTTATTTCATACTAGGATGATTAGTTGATTCTCTTAATTATGCCTTATGTCTTATGTGTTATACAGCGATGCGTTATGCAAAAGTCTGTACTCGATCTGGCCCTAACACTCAACTTATAACTACTCATATATAACAAGTTGAGAGTTACACTCATTTGAATGTTCGAAATGACACTCAAATGAGTGCTGTTTTGAGTATTATTTTAAGTGTTTTTTTTTTTAGTGTAAACACTCAAATTTCGAGTGCTTTTTCCGTAAGGACCGTATATTCTCTTCTTTTAGAAATTCCAACTGATTCGAACACGGTCGTCAAAGAATTGTAAGCCGTTGATAGTCATTCCCAAGTCGTGTTTTGAATTAGCAGTAATTATAATAAACTTGTCGTAAGCTATATTTTTATCCTTATTTCGGAAAATTTGAATGCCTTTCTATACGTAATTAAATATACTTAAATATCAAAGTAATAATATTAAAATAAAAACGTAACGTTTATAGTATCGGTTTATCTATGGAAGTTATATCAGATTACAAAGGATTAAAATATAAAGGAGACGTGTTTTATGACGTAGCTAACGATAACAGGATACATTTCACAAATTGAAATTTCTTCTTTATATTCCGTCTCTCTCGCGAAGCTCAAGGCATTTTCTTGGAGGACGACAAATAAACGGCGAGGCAAAACGCGACAGCTGAGACGGAAAGCTTTTTCTGTTCTATCGCGTCATCTTGTTTTCTTTTTCTCTCTCTCGTCACTCTCGTGTTAAAACAGTTTATTCGAGAGGAAGAAGAAGCAAAAATTTTCCCATCGCGAAATTCATCCGTGAGAAACCTCAACTTGTGCACTCCTCCGTTTTCGTTTTGATTTGTAAAAATTTGTATCTTGGAAGAGTCGTAACTTATTGACAAATTGACAAATTGGCAACACAGAGAAATCGATAATCGATCCTTTAACGCCTTCTAGACAGAGCCTTGGTGTCGGAGCCTGATAACTCATCTGGCAGACCGATAACGAAGTCTTCGAGCACGCCGGCCAGTTTGCAGACCATCGTCAGAATGCATGCCGGGAACAACAGCTCTTTGCATCATAAAGTAAGCGCTTAACTATAACACCTTTCCGTCTCTCATCAGTGAAGAGATAAAAATATGAAGCACACGTTAACAAGAAACACGGTGGTATTTCGCGCCAAGTGCACGCGCCAGCGACGCACGAGCGACGAGATCGGATCGTGTAATTTACAATTACAATAATGAGCCGTCTAGCTATGTATTTCTACATCTCATAAAATTAGACATTTCAATTGTATATAAACACGGATTTCGTGTCGCACTCGCCGTTTTTCATTCGTTGCAGCGTGCATTTTGCGAAAGAACACATTCTGAATTTGTGATGTGTCTGCTCAGATAATCAGGGACATGACTGGTAGCCACTACGTGACAACGGGAAGACTACGTTTCCGATTTGTGCAGGTTCTGCTTAATGCCGTCGCCCTCTTGGCCATCGCCGGCGGTATAGCCGCATACTTCAAAAGTGAGTGGAAAATTTCTTTCGAGTTAATTGCAATTGAAATGGCTTCGGTTGCAATACGACGAATTATTAAGCAATGTTTTTAAACCGATGTTGTCAAAATAAAATAAGAAAATCGAAAATGTTAATACCGTCGAAATATATGCAAGCGTTGAAAATCGCGGGTGTTTTTCCGGCGAGGAAAATAATGCAAGTAAAATTGGAAAACATCACGATGCAAATAACGACGCGTGGTATTTGACCGGAATAAACACGCTTGTTAAACCTTGCTGAACGCTTTAATATGCGTGCATGTGCAACACAACGCTTCGCAAGACCGAAAGATCAATAGCGCCGTGTGTTCTTGTAATCTACTTGATTCCGAAAATGCCAACATTAACTCGGTAATAAACGAGAGACTCATAAAACTCTTTCCATGTCTTTAAAATCTGACATCTTTTATTTTTATATCAAAAATATTTCGTACATATATTGAATTTGCAGTCGACAAATTATATCAATATCGCGTGTTAGTAAAATGATTACATCATGATTTAAAACAGGGATGAATGCCGAAGTAATTTTAGCAATTACATACGCATACTTTTACTTTTATGAAACCGTGGTACTGAAAGCCTTTAATTAATGCCGATATTGCGGATAGTACTTCAAATACTGATATATAATCGAAATTTTCATAACATTATACACACGTACGTAATTTTTCGATAATACTGATATTATCCGGTATTACTGTCATTACTTTACTGAATGCCGATATTAATAAATCAATGAAATTTGTAGCGTTCTCGATATACATTTCACGAAGGAAAGAAATAACACATATAAACTTTAACGCATATAATAACATGAATAACGCATATAGTGATTTGAATTTATATATACACTTCGCTTCCCTTAATCTCTCTTTAAAAATGTAAATCTCGATTGCCATTAACAAAAGTAAAAGTTCAATTTTACATATTAATGATTTCAGTGATATAACATACGTAATAAAATTATAATGCTTCTGTATGATACGCCGAAAGATTGTGTATAATACTAATGTTACATTACATCTGCAATGTGTTTATCAATCAATTTTTAATTATTATATAAAATGATATAATACCGTAATGCAACAGACATTTTTTTATACCCTTAATTTAAAATTAAGTATTGTTATCACCCGAATCGGATGATAACATTAGGTAACATCGTGATGTCGAGTGCCGCGCGTCTGAGGTTGACACGTTAATAATTACAAAAGTTTGTAACGTCACATCCCTTCTGCCCCGCGCTAAATACTTGGAACGTGACCGTTTTCAACACGGAGGTATATTGATATTTCTTGATTCAAATATATATATATATATATATATATATATATATATATAACAGATGTGTCGAGCCGACGTGACAAATGATTTAATTTATATATCTCGGTGATGTAATCGACGATGTCAAATTAAACGGTGGTATGCGGCATCGCGGTAATGAATACATCTTCTTCGTATTAATATTCATATTCTTTCATTAACCAGCATCTGAAAATGACTTCAAACTGGAGAATAGAACCATATACACGGCTGTGATCCCGATACCTGAAGGTACACATTTCATGTTCGAGGATAAGAATCCGGCTCCGGGAGTGTGTCTGCCCATCATCGTGACTTTCTGCTTGCAGCACAAGGTAACGATTGTAAAACTCTTGTTATAAACATCTCATTTATTGTCATGCGACTCGACATCAAGATTGGAAAAAGAGAGGCAAATATAAAATATTCATTTAACTTGAAGAAATTGAGGCTCGTATAATGAATAATTATAAATAATCAATAATGCCATTTCAAGTCGACACGGATTTTGGTATGTAATAATTTTTACTGTTACAATATCAAGCCACATACAAATTTGTAATACCCCTACATTTTAGCAGCATTTTACATGGAATAACTAAATATTTTATCATAAATAACCAATAATGCCAATTCGAACCGACACGGATGTTGATGTATAGTAATCTTTATTGTTACAATATCAAGCCACATACAAACTGTGCGCCGTATAAACTGTCTTGAAACACAGTTCTTACATAAGGCCAGAATCCACTGTAACGAATTAAATTGTCGAACAATTTAATAATTTCGATGCTAATAAGCATCTATTAAGAATCTTGTCTCCCGAAATCTTTCCCGGCTGGGAGCAGGGGTGATATTTTTCGCAATAAATTCTTTACAGATTTGGGGGGATAAGATTCTTAATAGATTTTTATTAGCATCGAAATTATTAAATTGTTCGACAATTTAATTCGTTACAATTCTGATGTCGGATTCTGGTCTCATGTAAGAACTGTGTTTTAAGACCGACAGTTTATGCGGTGCACAGTTTGTATGTGGCTTGATATTGTAACAGTAAAAATTATTACACACCAACATCCGTGTCGGTTCAAAATGGCATTATTGGTTATTTATGATAAAATATTCAGCTATTCCATGTAAAATGCTGCTAAAATTTAGGGGTATCACAAAGAGAAAGAAGGCCCGTTAAACTCTGGAATCTGTGCGAATCCGTGTCCTCGAAATATTCAACGCATTTTAGCGGCTTGTACAGAAAGCCGCTTGTTCACGATGATACGTATTATGCTTTCCTCGAAAGAGGCTTGGCCACCTTTGGAGAATTTAAAATAATTTTGCGCGCGGAATGTGCGCGTGTGGGCGGCACACCGGAATTCGCTCCGGTATGCAGCATCGTAACCGTGTCACTTGCCCTCAACGTCGGAATACCGACGAGTAAGAGTGACAACGTTACTTTCTCCCTTCTGCGACGAAACGTCCTCGCGGGGGCATTAGAAGCACCCGTCGACGGTCGTAATTTCGATGCGTCCGCGCCCCTGAATACATTTTCCACTTACTTTTTCCCTTCTATTTCAATGGTCCGTGCTTGAACAATGTGTGTTTTAAAATTCATAAGGCACTCACCGTGCAGCCGTGCGTTCTGAATTTTTCTGAGTACGAATGAGATTGAGCAGCGGCAAAGATCACGAGTGTTGTCATTAGAGAATTTGAGAGGAAAATTCTATGGTTGCGGTAGAACGATCAGGACTTACGTGGGACTCGAATTTTCTTAATCATGAAAAAAAAAAGTTTGGTGTTAAACTGAACTTTTAGTATTAGAATTTGATATCAGTATTAGGTCTGAAATTTTTCTATATTGATTCTAAGTGGCTCATGATAAAACTTTAAGAATATCAATCAGTTAATTTTCATTATCCTATTTATACTATGATCTTAGATTTTATAGATACCAATTGCTTTCTTCAAATATTAACATTATTGCTTGTTTTTTTTTTGCAAATGATATACATGTACAAAGCAATTTATACTGACAATATAATTTTGATACGTAATCGCAATTTCAATCGTAGGTTCCGTACAACTATACTGTGTTTCCAAATTACATGGGCAATTTTGGACAGCGGGAGGCCCAGCACGAGCTGGAGCTTTACGACGCTGTCGTTGACGTCAGATGTTACGAACTGGCTGCTCTATTCCTGTGTAGCGTTTTCGTGCCGAAATGCGGCTCCCGAGGTCGCGTTGTACGTCCCTGTCGCAGTCTCTGCTTTCGTAAGTACAAATGACTTGTTGTTATATACAATGTTATTTAATTTAAAATCTATTTTATTTTTTATTAGTTACTTTGGAGTTATTTTTTTTATTTCATAATTTTTCAATTTTATTGCACCGTTAATGCAACATCCAAATCTCTTTTGCGTTTTTTTTTAATGCAATATAATTTACTTGTCAGAATATGGATCAATATAGTGTATCGTTTTTGCTCGACAAACCGTAAATTGCGAACGTAAGCCGCGTAGATGCATTAACAGTAATACTAGTTAATACCCGTGGGTCTTAATAGCGTTCGATTCCACTGTTCGACATGTAAATGTATGGTAAAGGCGGTTCTTATATTGGATTTTGCACCGCTAAATCGCTATATTTCTTTGTATCTTGAATAATACGGGTTACTTGATATTCCGGTCTTGACCGGCTGGCGAATTTCTTCTCAATCAATTTCAGAAACCAAAAGGCGCTGCGGTTTCTTTCTCAAAGTTTTCGGTTTGTCTCTCCCGGAATATTTGGACTGCGAACTTTTCCCAGAGAATCCGAGTTCTGACGAGTGCATCGGGCATCATGAGGTGATCGAAGCGGCAAGGAGGGCCGAGAAACCGGGTAAGCGACACTAAATTTTAGTTTTACCACTTAAGTTCCAGCTTGTGTGTGCGCTATTTCCGTTTAGCTCACTGCGTTTGTCTCATTTTTAGCGTTTAGTTAAATTTTCTATTACCTTAACCAGGAATCTATTATAGTTCTTTCATTACGTTAAATGCTGTGCAAAAAGGGCCAATATATTATTTAATCAATTGATAGTAACGGCATTAACTATAACGGAAATGAGCTTATCACGAATAAAAGCTGCAGGTACTCGAATTATCCTTGCAATGATAATTGGGGGATTAAAGTAATCTCTTTAGAGCAGTTGGATGATTCAGAGGATATGTGCCATTGAAAAATTAGCTTTTCAATGGTATTTTCGTTGATACTCTGATGGATTTAAAGAGTAGCGTTTGAACAATTCCATCAATGAGAAAAATGCGCTCGTATGTTATTCTTGGCTGGCTTACTCTGTTGCGGAATATTGTTCGTTTTCTGAAAAATAACTTTTGTATATCGTTATTTTTCTATAATAATTGATAAATTATTTTAGATGAAGAATATTAATACGTAAACATATTATATTCAGATAATTCCCTATAAAATTTATCTCGTTTAGAGTACCAGTGAGATTAAGCAGCGTTTATCATGATGCACCAACACTGAGATTTCGTTGCACAATACGGTTTCGTGTATCGTGTGCCTTTGTGCGAAACATTGTGGGAGGCAATATTATTTATGAGTTTTCTGTCCTTTTGTCCCACGTCGATTTGTGCGCGGACATTAAATATAGGATGCAACCACAAAACGGGACTAATTGTTGACTAACTTGATGTCCATTGTTCATTCTTCCTTTGATAACTCGGACTCTGTTTACGCTCGGTATTTCTCTCTCTTTGTCTTCCTCTCTCGTTTATGTTCTATTGTCGTTTGGCCTTCTCTCGTGAAATTTCCTGGATCCGCTCGATCGGCTGGTTTGCCCTTCGAAACTTTCCTTCCAGTGGAAATGTAATCTTATTTCGGCTTGCAATCTTCGAAATTACAAAAACCTTTTCTCATTTAGAAACAAAAATTAAATCAAGATATATACAGATAATTTAATGTATAATGTGTGTGTATACGGTAAATAAATTATTTTATTTAAATATTTTTAAATAAAATTTTTAAAAATAAATTAATAATGGAATAAAAGAGAATTATGTATGTATAATTTTTTATATTTATAGTGCAGTATGGTACGACAAGCGATACAAGAAGCTCATCAAATAATATAGCAATAATGCGGCTACTTATAATGAGTGATTCATTGTAATGCAAATAGCAAATTATTTATGATAGAGAGAGCATTTAAACAACGTTTCTCCCGTATTTTTATAAAGCAGTTTTAATTAACTGGGAATATCACGACACAATTGTTTAAGGATAAGGAAGAAGGAATCTCCTGGAAGTTTCTGAAATGCTATTCACTGAATTTAAAAAATCGTCACGTGCACGTCATATGCATAACGAGCGCGATAATGGCGCTTAAAATCTCGTGGAATGGTTCGCGCGAGAGAAGAGAGAATTAAACGATCGTACACGCGCGCGTGCTGCAATTTCCAAAGCAAATATTACGTAAATCGCGGCGACAGGCGTGGTGACAGGATTGATCGGAAGTACTCGTCCCTCGTCTCGTGGTGAATTTAATTCACGATTGGTGGATTGCGCCCGCTGATAGAGAGAGAGAGAGAGAGAGAGAGAGAGAGAGAGAGAGAGAAATTCATCCGCGTCCACGGTTAATTAAGATTGAATTGTGTTGTAATTACGAAGTCCACTCAATCGAATAAATTCAACACACTCTCAAGATTTCGATGGTTGTTTCTCGATTTTCTTTCTTTCCGCATCTTTCTTTCGAAGCTCCGTTTCACCCTTCGGCGGCGATAACTTCCGATTTGATTTACTGGTTTCACTAGCTCTCTTCAAACGTAATTCTGTTTGTGATCTATATAACACTGTTAGTTTTTTGTGCTTGTTTAATAATACTAATTTTATTTGTTCAATAATGTCTAATCGAATTTCCCAAATATGCAATATATTTCGCAAACGGGCGGATCTAAATTCTGGAGATTATTATGACGTGATCTGAAAGTATAGCAACAGTACAGTAGGAAACCTTCATCAAAGCATCTTTCTGTTATCCAATACATCACGTGTACAGTTGAGACACTGAAGGCAGCACATCTGTGCATGTTGTAATTACAAAGGAGGTTCAGCGACACCCTGTATACGTACGCATACGTGTTCGCACATGCGGGGCTATATCGCGACTTTGTGTACCCGGAGCTATCGCATGTGTCACCGCTGATGGAATCTTAATTGCAAAATCCATATTAAACTATCGTATGACGGCCCATCTGCGGCGCCAAGCAGCTTTATTGAGTCGCGCCTGATGCATGTGTACATACATATCGCGCTTGACGCACATATGTGTGAAAGTATCGAACCGCAAGCGCAGGATCGATCGTGTCCATCGCAGGAGAAGACATATTGCGAAAGATAGGACGTTACGACAGAGAATGTCGATAATATTAATATCTCTAACGGAACGTAATATATTTTCGTAATTTTTGGCATGGTCTGCCGATCCGGATACTGTTAGTTTACATTTTCACGTTCCTTTCTCGGAGTAGAGTATTATTTATTGCTACACTGCTATTTTAGTTTCATTCCCATTTTTAGTACAAATAATACTTACCAAACAGCTGCAATTAAAATCTCGCTCGACTAATTTCTTCTGAATTATTATTATTATTATTATTATTATTATTATTTGTCTCATATTTAATACATTATACTAAAAATTTAATTAAATTTGATTTATTAATTAAATATTTAATTAAATAGGAATAGATAATTATTATTTATTATATGTAAATTCGTTAAGTGAGGTAAATAATGAATTAATCATTTAAGAATATGTAACATATCCACTGTAAAAGGAATATATAAAATTACACAAACAATAAAGTGTATATACATTTTGTAAGTCGTGTGACATTTACACTTGTTCATGTAATTTTATATATGTATACGTACTTTTTCTCTTTACAGTGAGTAAACCCTAGATTATATTACATCAATTTCTAGAAAGCATGTGGTCTTCATTCTACTCCGATTCGTTTATACAGTGTGCACCAGTGGCTTTCAATGCGATAGCACAAGGTGCATTCCGTTTGATTGGCGATGCGATGGTCACATCGATTGCTCGGATCACACCGACGAGATCGGATGCGGGAACTGTAATTTCAACACGTCGTCTTCGGTTTCGAAGTCTTCCGCGTACGGCCAAATAAAGTTAAGTAAGGATTCTTCGTCTAAAAACACCATTTCTACGAAATCGTTACACTGTGGCGAAAGAAGATGCATGTCGGCCAGTCACATCTGCGACGGGATCATGGACTGTCCTTGGGGGCAGGACGAGCGATATTGCCGTAAGTAAATCCGTAATATCACGGAAAATATGATATTATATTTACAGCAAACAACAGTCGAATTGAAAATGATCTTGTTAATTCAATAATAGTATTAATGACACAAATAATGTACATTTTATTAGGACAAAAGTATGATATATTTATTTCATTAAAATTGTTATTGAATTAACAAGATTATTTTCAATTAGGCTATTAGCTAATGCTATTAATACATCTTTTTTACTGTTTTTTTAATTTTATATTCCATAACTATATTTTTAATCAATTGAAAATTATATTTGTGGACTCTTTTTTATATTATCCTGTAAAATGCAGCCGACAGTTTCTATAAAAAAAATTATAGAATTATACTATAATTAGAAACTATTATTAGAAAAATTATATTATCTCGGTTAAAATAGCCTTTTCTTATCTCTTTTTACGCTTTTCTTGGATAGCAAAATGTTTTCGTTTATTCGACTGATACGCTATTTTGATCAATACGTAATCAAGCAATACACGAGTCAATTATAAGTATCGATAACGCAATATATCTAAATGATTTAACAAGAAACGAAGAAATTAATTTTCGATTTTGAGCCTAGACTCTCAGATTTCAAGTTCCATACTACATCTCTTTTTTTTTTAAGTGAAATTAAGCGAGAAGAATGGGGACGTCGGCGAGGGCCGTCTGGAGGTATATCATGCTGAAATGGGTAAATTTATGCCGGCATGTGTGTCGCAGTGGAAATCAACGTTGCCGCAAGAGATTTGCGAGATGATGGGATACACGTAAGTTATTTCTCTTAATACGTCGATTGACATGAATTACGTAATATTATATAATAATTGAAACGTGCAGATTATATATTTTTACGCGCGCGCGCGCTGTAAAACTTCATAAATCCTCACTTGTACATTCAAACGATTATATTTCGAAAGAGATGCGTTGAGAGACATTTATGTATGTACGTACGTGATTGATTTTGGCTTATTAATTTTACGCCTTTACGACAATCAACAACGTTTTGTTATCTTCTCAAATGAAAACAAAAATAAGAAAATACGATGTACGAAAAATTGTTAAAACGACAAATCTGATTTCATTTTCAGAGTTTCAAACGGGTCTAAGAGGCTGATGGACGACTTAGCACCGAACGTGTCGAGAAGTTCTGAGTACAATAACAAAAGTTCTTTGCTGAAGCAATTTCAAGGATGCATCAAGGATCGAGAGCCTTATCCCATGGTGAAACTTACTTGCGTCAAATACGGTAAATTATCGGAAAATTGTATAAGGAGATCATTGAATTAAAAATTTTTCTAAAGTTCTCCCGGGATTTCTTTACGACGTGTGATGATCGATTCTGCTGCAGCTTGCGGCCGCAGACGGTCCGTACACGAAAATGTGAGGGTGAAGCGAATAGTGGGTGGGGTGGAGTCAGCCCCTGGTGATTGGCCATTTCTTGCAGCCCTTCTCGGTGGCCCGGAACAGATCTTCTACTGTGCCGGCGTCCTTATTGCCGATCAATGGGTGTTGACCGCGTCTCATTGCGTCGGGAAGTAAGTGATGTGCGCGAAACATTGCAAAATACCACCTTCAATCATTGATAGATTCCTTGTAAAAAAAATAATGTTTGAAATAATTCCTTTAAGCAACGAGTTATTATTAATAACTCCTGATAGAAGATCTCAAACAAAAAATAAATTGATTCTCTGTACATCGATGATTTCAGTCATTCAGACGTGTCTGGTTGGACGATACAGCTTGGCATTACTAGAAGACTTTCTCACACTTATCTCGGTCAAAAACTGAAGGTGAAAAGAGTTATACCTCACCCGTATTACAACGTGGTTGCTGCTCACGATAACGACGTTGCGCTGTTCCAAGTAAATTTTCACATTGATGAGATATTTAATTATATTATATTATATATATACATATATATATATATATATATACCTATATATATAATCACGTAGAAATATATAAACACTAAGATCCAGTTTTGATTCAATTGATTCTTTCAATTTATGTGTATTATTTAATTATTGTTGTGCAAAATATTTAAATCTTCTGTTTAATGTATACCTATCGTATACTGTAAAATCATGGTACTTGTTTAAATTTGAATACTGTTTTAAACCTAGTATTTTTTCATGCAATATCTTATATTTCAGCTTGAAAAGCGAGTTCAGTATCACGAACATCTGAGACCGGTGTGCTTACCAACTGCTGACACTAATCTTACACCCGATACAAAATGTACCGTCATTGGATGGGGCAAGAAAAACGATACCGATTGTAAGTATTATTCGTGTATGATAAAATGCTATTTTTAAAATGTTTGTTTGCAATATATTAATTTGTGATGTATGCAAATAAACTACAATAGATAATTAATATAATCTAATATATACCTCTAATATTTGAAATATAAACTTTTTAGAAGAAGCTGTAAGCTCATCTTATTTATCTTTTATATATAATTGAAGCCTTTACTCTTTAGAGCATGAGTGAGAAATAAGTTTGTTATACTTAGTTTGTAAAATTCATTCCAATGTCAAACAATAGACTTGGTTCAGCTTTGCTTTGAATTTTTCAGTGAATTTTTCTTTGAGTTATAGTTTTCCTTCCAAATATACATAAGAAAGAAAATATAATTTACAAATTAAGTTCAATTATTATTGTAGCCTCTGAATATGAGCCAGCCGTAAACGAGGTTGTAGTTCCTATTCTGCCTCGACACCTCTGCAACTCGTGGTTAGCGCATAAAGAAGTGAACATTACCGATGGAATGATCTGCGCTGGTTATGCGGATGGAGGAAAAGATGCATGCCAAGTAAATTTTTCTAAAATTCGATTTAAAATCTTCGATTAAAACGTTTTACTTGTGTGTTCTTCATAAGTTATAAAAGTGTTATGTATGCCGCGAATTGAGAATTAATTTTCAATGTGTTTTATAAAATTAAACTATATGATGTTATTTGAACTTGACTTTTATATTAATTTTTGGATCTTCTCAAATTATCGCATCTATAAAATATTAAAATATCTAATATTATATATGTATACCCTGTAGGAAACAATTAATTTTTCGTACAACACTTTAATCTCAGAATGTTTATGTCTGAAAAATGTACGTCATTTGCTACTATAATTTACATTATTGCTACAATAATTTTTAGAAGTAAATGTAACAATTATGAATTAATTGTTTTTCTTCAAGGGCGATTCTGGAGGACCTCTGTTGTGTCAAGATAAGGAAGACAAGGAGAGATGGTTCGTCGGCGGAATTGTCAGCTGGGGCATAAAATGCGCCCATCCAAAACTGCCCGGAGTCTACGCATACGTACCCAAGTTCGTTACGTGGATCCAAGAAGAAATGTCTCAGTATTCCGAGTATAACAATAGAAATAATGGGAAAACGTAAGTCATCGAGTCGGGCAAAATATTCAATGTGAAAACCAGCAACATCGAGACGAATCGAATGGAAATGGAAGAAAAATGTAAAACACAGTCAAGGAAACGCAGACTTTCACGTTTAATGACATTATATTGAAAGGGGAAGATATTGGAATCGAAAGCAATTAATGGGCTCCCGATCTGCTAATCTGCGCTCAGCGATTCCTGTATACGCTCAATCAACGGATAGTATTTTGTATACACCTTGTGCAGCTTTGTGAAGGAAAGAGAGCTGAGTATTAATACAGATCGTTAATCTCATTCTTTGTGGGATTAGTAAGCACAGATAAATAGTACACAAGCTAATAAAAATTACTGATAATCATGACCGTTCGCTAAGCTAAGAATGCTAGACAATGAATACCAACACAAATGAATTTGTCCTCGAGTGATAAGAGTAATCCAATTATAAGTCTACCACTTACAATGGGTAGCCGTAGCAGAAAAACTATTTTTTTCTCGTATTGTGAACAGATAATTATAGAGAAAAACCGGATTTTATCATCAACATGTACGAATACTGATATTTGCTACCACAATTCTCAGTCATAGCTCGTCCAAATAATAAAATTTCACCACTTCGCGATTTTTCGTAACAAGATTTTATGATAAGCCACTCGAACAAGGAAAACGAGATAATCGGAAACATATAGAATACATTACTTTATAAGTGGAACTATATGCGGATACCGAGGATTGCGTACACATAAGTTCAAATAATAAGCCATTTTCTAGAAAACTACTAGATAAAAGAGAGGATCAAAAATGCCGATGTATGTACTTTTGGTACCTACTGAAATAAGAAAAAAAAAATTGAAGATTTATGCACAAAACGAAAATCCACGCATGTGATGCGACAAAAAATATTTTGTATCGCTGCCGACTTTAGGACAGCCGTGTATGAGCCACCAAGTGGTCGAAACCCTTGATCTATAGGGTGTGCGTTTAACGGCATTCAATGATATGAGTCGTTTGAATGGTTTAAGTAGTATCAATATTGTACATACTTTAGGAAACATGATGCCTATTATACTTAAATTTAAAAAATATTAATTGTCTGGTTTTACCTATATTTTATTGTTCTGTTACACTTACATTATGAATTATAATTTAAAAACTTTTCTTTTTAAAATTAAAAATATAATTTTTCCTTTGGAAATAGAATCAATAGAAAATATAATAAATATAGAACATAAGAGATATAGTAAAGAGCAATTATATTTTTTATTAAAGTATTTTTGAAAATTCTATTATTTCTTAAAATCCGAATAATTTGGTTTATGATGCTGTTCCACCAAACCGACTCATACATTTGTATGGCAATCATAGGAAATCTGTGATTTACGAACAATTCTGATACAATAGAGGAGGATTATAAAACATTCTTTTGAAATAGCTTTTTCGTTGATATATCGCACATTTATATTTGAAAAGAGAAGCAGAACGCTTTTCGATGGTTTGTGATATGCACAGTACTACACAGATAATATTATCAGAAGTTATCTAATTTAGTACGTACTATTAAGATGAAGAAAACGTATATATGCTGAAGAAAGCGCATTATATATATATACACATATAATCGATAAACTGTATTTTTGTAAAGGAAACGAGTTAAGCGCACACCCCCTACGGGTAAAATATCGTACACGTATTGCATGAAATGCATTACTGTACCAGCGCGCGGATATTTTAAATAATATACGAAGAGACAATATATCCCCTAAGAAACAAAAGAAAATGTCTATGTGCTTATCGATGTAAATGCATATTGCGACATAGTCAGTTACCTATTAATAATAGGTACTAAATCTATGATAATAATTATCGTTCGTTTTAAGAGCGCGTGTCAGGCACCCAAAAAAGCTTTGCACATATAAACGTAGACGTACAGGGACATCGTTGCATACTGTGCATTTTCGTTAGACGTGATAAATTCTGAAGTCACACGACTCAACACCGTGATTTATATTTACGCAATGTTCGAGACAGATCCAGTATTACGAGAATGCTGATGTACATACGAAATTGAAGATGGAAGAACTGCCATGATATGAATAGTAACGTATATATTTTCATCCATATATCCCACTGCAAACGCTACACAATGAGAAATATATAGCGTCGCAGTCTAAACTCAATTATTGGCGTAATTTCGTCTATCAGGTTCGCAGTATTTTATTTCGCAGAAAGGTACGGTATGCAAGAAGTCTCCGATGTTAGGCTGAGCTAACGAAAAATTAACGACTTAAATAAGAGAAAATTTAACTAACAATAAGCATGTCTTATCTTTATTGTTATTATGACTTGAGCATCAAGTATAAATTTTAATATTTGTTATAAATGTTTAAGATATTTTTAATTTATTTTTTGTTATAATAGAAATTTTTTTGTATATGATAAGAATTAGTAGCTTTTCCGTAAAATTTATGAAATTTTTTAACAAGATGAACAAGATATACGTTGAGGTTTTTCAGTATTATGTATTATTGTTACCATTTTTTGTCAAGGGGATATAATTAGGCGTAAAAGAACTTAACGTTATATACTTCACTGTCAGAAATTTCTATGGGAATTTTCAGAAACATGTGACTGAAGCTTTACGTACAAATTACCATTTCTGAAATTTACTATAAACGAGAATAAAAATTTCAAAAACAGTAATTGCATAAAGTTGTAGTCACACATCTCTGAAAATTCTGTTACTGTTTAGTAATTTTCAGTAACTGTGACTGAAAATTTAAAAGAAATTTAAAAAATTTTTTATCGGTTTATTAATTTTAACATATTTGCTGATTATAATTGTCTTGGCACATAAATACTAATTTTCATTTTTAACAATCTAATTTCGTAAAATTAAGTTACTTCAGAAAAATTCAGTACCTTAAATCTGACGGAATTTTCCGAACATTTCTAACAGTGTTGCTCAGCCTGTCGTATTCTAACTGAAATATTTGCACGTGCATCAGATATAAGTAAATTGTACGTAAATTGTTATACGTATATAATATGATGTTACAATATAATATAAAGTACGTAAGAATAGAGGCTTGTAGAATAGAGTGTTCGTAGCGCTCGATATATAAACGTAAGGAACATGTTGACTGAATTCTAGGGACAATACTCTGCACCAGCACTTTTTTGATCTGCACTATAAGAAAATCGTTTTTCAATGAGTATACTTTGTACGTATATCGTTTAGGAGCCTTACTAATTGACTTGTAAACCTTTTCTAAGCAGTAAGACGAACAGTATTGTTGGTCGCAACGACAACTGATAGTCCAATTCGATTTATTTGCGAGCCGTATTTATTTACTCGCTTGTTATTCTGAACGCGAATCTTGCTCTATTTTTTTCTCCATCAAGCTTCCTTCTCGTCATTTACAAAGGAAAAAGATGTAATTTTTTGTCGTGTCCTAATATTATTAATGATTAATATTCTATATATTATTTCAATGCATCTAAAGCAAATAATATTTGATAACAATTTGTTTTATATAAAAATAAGAATGTTTTTTGATATACAAAAACACGTACATTCAGTGATATATATGTCTACAATAGTAAATTTAGTTTTTCCTATTATCTAAAGATGGATCTACATATTCATTTATTGTTATATTTGAGACATCTAAAAAATAACTTTCTTTAAGACAGGAAATTTTCAGACAATAAGAAAGAACTTGGACAATAATGGTCTTCCTTAGTATCCAGACAACAGTTTAGTTGTAAAAATGGATTATATACTTAAATAACCGACAATACTGTGTGAGCAGACAATAAATAGAGTTAGGAAATGTTCCATGATGGACAATAAATTATTTATTAAGGATTACAATAAGGAATTACTCGTAAACTTAGAATATACGAAAGTGATTAGTTAATAATTAGAACATATAACTATAACATATTCTATTAAATAGCCTACTAAAATGGTCTCTCATACTGTTACTGCATAATAGTATACTGCAATCAAGAGCTCTTTATTTATTATTTCGTATAGTATAAAAAGCATATAATATTTCTTTACGCATTCTATTTGTATTAAATTATGAAATATTTTATAATATAGACGTATATAAAATTATATATATATATATATATAT